ACGATTCCATCGAGTACCATATCTACAAACATCATATCTCCTGGTTCTAATGACACACAATCTAGTAGTAATTATAGCAATTTGACATCCCCTTTCTCACATAATTCAGATATTGACTTTTGATCTTTTGAAGTATTATAATAATAAATATATTTTTGCATTAAAAAAATAGAATATTAACCTAAAATGTATATTTTGTTTTTATTTATTTTAAATAAACATACCTTAATGTAACAGCCAACATTTGTTCAGGTTGGATGCAATTCCTCATATTTGTATCTTGTCTTTGTAGCTGTGTCTGCACACGTTGCAGCAACTCATCAAAAGAAGAAACGCTCATACGAAAATAATTTAAAAACTTAGTTTCGTCTTCTTTCAGTTGTTGAAAAAGCACAAAGAATGCTCCTTCCAGGTATCGGCTTTCTAGCAAAGGGTGAACCCAAATTTGCCTATTACGTTGTTTTTTTCGCCGATGTTTTAATAAAGCGAACAAAATCGTTTTGCGTCTACTGTCCATCATAATCAGCGGCAAACTGAAGTACCTAGCAAAAAGTGGTCCGGATTTTCGCACACACCCGTCCACCCGTGTGAAGAGAGCTCCAGGGTGCTGCCCGGCCGGGCGATCATACGGACGGATAAATATCCTGACCATGTGAAAGAGCGCTTACTAATACATCGTTTACTCCGGTGGAGTAATTTCCACATACATCGTTTCATTTTGCTGCCAGAAGCACGGAGTTCTAGCAGCATGATAACTACAGGATAATTTTCATGTTGCAATATCTGCTTCACAAAAAAGTGTTCCCAAAATATAATATTTTTTTGTTAGATGTAATTTAGGAGTTTCAACAATGCTGAAAAAATGTTATTAGATGTAACTTTGACATTTTTAATCTCGTAAGCTGTTGAGTATAAGGTAAAATCTTGTAGGACCTAATTGAAAATTATTCTTTATAAAAAGTCCTACCATTTTTTTGTGCAGACTGATCGTTTACGGGATAACGAGATCAGCGGAATTGTGGATGTAGCCCCGACCCTATGATCTCGTTATTTTTGGTTTACCATTATTAGAGCATTATTTCATCGCCCCATTTGTTGATCTGACGTTGCAGCTGCCACGTCGCGTTCGGAGGTCTCCCAGTGACGACATGCACAAAGTACATATATCGCCTCGAGTAATGTATTATAGAGCTAAACCATACTTCACCCAGCGCTAGCTCGGGGCAACTAGGTGCAACTGAACGAAACCATTGCCAACGTCTCGTGAGCCAATACGTTATCATGTATCAAAATCTTAACCGATGGATTGATAGAAGCATATGGATGCTAGAGGTGACAGTAGCAACTCTAACTACCCGTACGCACCAGCGACAAGTTGTCGCGCCGCAAAACAAATGCACGTTAAACACGCGACAACTTGCTGTTCATACAGGCGGCTTTCGACAATACCCGTTCGAACTTGCACTGATAGTGTGTACAGTTCCATATACAAGGTTTGTTCGGAAAATACGTATAAAAAATTCGGGGCGTCGTATCAATGCGTTGTGGAGGGGTGGCCCGGTGGTTCCCTCTCTCTATGCAATCTCCGCTATTCTCCGTTCGAGCCGGAGCGCTCTGCGAGTATGTAGGATTTACGTATGCTTGTTGAAAGCAACACTTTTTTGCCGTCGGCATGAAGCTGTCTCTGGTCGAGGAACAGCGCATCAACAACAAGTTTCTTGCAAACCTAGGAAAGAATGGTCGTGAGATTTTTGAGTGTTTGGAGTAAGTTTACGGAAACAATTCTCTGAAGGAACCAACCATCTACAGTGGTTAAAAACGTTTCGGGAAGGCCGAGAAGATGTGAAAGATGACCAACGCTCAGGATCCCTTGCACACCGAGCTCTGAGAGAAATGCTGAACGGATTCGGGGCTGTGTTCTTAAAGACCGTCGATTGACAGTTAGAATTATAGTTGAGGTACTGTCAATCCCCAAACCAATCGTCCACGAAATTCTGACAGAAAAACTTGGAATGATAAAATTGTGCGCGAAAATCGTTCCGAAGCTCTTGATTACAGAACAGAAAGCAAGGAGGGTTGCTTGCTGTGAGGATTGGTTGCAAGCAGAGGAAAGGGGGGACTTTCTGAACCGAATCATCACTGGAACGAGTCTTGGTTCTACAAATTCGATGCGGAGCTGAAACCTTAAAGCATGGAGTGGAAGCAAGCAGGGGAACCAAGAACAAAAAAGTCGAAAGGTCCAATGTGAAAACAATGTTGATTGTTTTCTATGATTTTCGGGGCACTGTTCACCAGGAATTTGTCTCTCCCGACCATACAGTGACCGGAAATTTCTACAATGAAGTTTTGCGTCGTCTCAGAGCTCAGGAGGCAGGTGGATCCTTCATCACGACAACGCGCCTGCTCACACATTTTTGGCCCGAAACTCAATCACCGTGACAGAACACCGCCTTATTCACCCGATTTAGCCACTTGCAAATGCAAAATGGCGCTTCGGGGCGGCACTTGGGGTATGTGGAAGCCATCAAGGCAGAAACGATACGGCAAATGAAGAGCCTCACAAATGAAGACCTTCAGCGATCGTATCAACAGTAGAAACGGCGTTGGTAGAAGTTGGGTAGTACTTTGAAGGAGACCATATTGAAATACCTGAACAATTGTAAAATAAAGTTGTTATTCCACTTGTATACGTATTCTCTGGACAAACCTCGTATAGCCATTTTCACGGTTTTTGACGGGTCACAGTAAAACTATAGGAATTACTTTCAACTTTACAACTCGCCCTTACATCCGTATGCAATTGGTCTTTATGTGCGGGCGTTTGTTTGTGTAAGCTTAGAGACATACGCATTTTAGTTTTGCTTTAATGCCTGAAGATACTTCTATAATGTCGACAGCCAGTATTAAATTTATGGAAGCATTTTTAGCAAGTGACTGGACACGGCGATCTTCTATCACCCAATTCATGTGTAAGTGTGCAAGAGCGAGTAGCAGCTGGGTTAAGGATCGGCTTGCCCAGTTGGTAAATTTCCTCAGAGGGGTTAAACTATGCACATGATACCATGTTAGTCAGTCTGCTTGCTTATTTAGCATGATATTGTGACGTTACCATCAAAAACCGTGAAAAGAACTATAGATTAATGTTATGCTAAACGCTCGTTTTTTGAGGCGCGACAACTGTGAGTACGAGCACTAAAATACGTACCCCTCTTTCACATATCGTAAGTTTATGTTGTACATAGTTCTGCACGAGAATTTAAGAAATAGCTCGTGAGGTCACGTAACGTGACAATATGCGTGCTCGCCTTTATTACATTTGTGATCCTTATAGAAAATGATACCTATAGATGACATCACATTAGGATGCTTTTAGGCCCTAGTTTTTCAATTGATTTTACTGCTAACCAGAAATTAAGTCTCGGAACGCGTTTTTCAAGGACAAATTTATCATAAAACATAGGTTAACTTTAAACTATTGAATGTTTAAAATTGTCCGAGATAAAATGAGCTACCGTAGTGTCATCTATGATAATTTGTCACAGCTGTTTCTCTATTTACTATACAGTAATGGACAAAAGTATCCAGACAAATAGGAATATTTACCTAAATACCTACCTAAATAGAAAACGAATTCATACTTCATTGCTCCATAAACAAATGCGTTATTAATAGAAAAACTAAATTCCTTGTTTTTACATTATCTGCAATACAAGTCTGAATATAAGCACTTTTTTATGAGGGACAAAAACATGTAGACAAATTCTTTTCAACATTAGTTTATGCCGCGTGGTCCAGAAATTTCTTTTGATGTGAAAACTAAGATCATTGAGTTATACAAAGATGGTCAACGTCAAGTAGACATTGCCAAAAATTTGAAGCTGAAGCATAAAGCAGTTTGGGCAATATTGAACAAATATAAACAAACAGGTATCTTGGAAGCCTCTAAGAGAAGTGGTCGGCCTAGAAAACTAAATGCTAGATCAGTGAGATTAATAAAAGTAATTGCGTCTAAAGATCCGTTTAAAACCCCAAGACAAATAAAAGCCGAAATCGAGACAAAATGAATTGTCAGTGTTTCTACGAAAACTATAAGTAGAAGATTAAATGATTTGAAGTTATTTGCACGTCGCCCGAGTAAGAAGCCGCTAATCTCGGGGAAAAACCGTAAGGACCGATTACAATTTGCACGGTTGCATCTTGATTGGAGCATCTGTGACTGGAAGAGGGTATGTTTCAGTGACGAATCCAAGTTCAATATGTTTGGATCAGATGGTGTTCATTACGTTAGACGTCCTAGTGGACAAAGACTGAAGCCCAAGTACACTTTGCCCACTGTCAAATATGGAGGCGGGTCTGTTATGGTTTGGGGGTGCTTTTCGGGGTTTGGGATGGGATCTTTACATAAAATAGATGGCATTATGGATAAGTTTGTATACACAGACATACTAAAGCATGTCATGTTACCCTATATGGAAGACAATATGCCCTTAAGATCAACCTTCCAGCAAGATAATGACCCGAAGCACACTTCAAATTTCACAAAGAAATTCTTTCTGGATGAAAAAAATACCAGTTCTCAAATGGCCTTCACAGTCTCCCGATATAAACCCCATTGAAAATCTATGGGAATACTTAGATAAGCAAACTCGAGATAAAAATTATTCAAACAAGGGTGAAATTTTTGCCGCTTCAGAGCAAAAGTGGAGATAGATTGATGAATCTTATATCAAGAAACTTCTACAATCTATACCGAGATGATGCCAGGCGGTGATTGATAATAATGGTTATGCTACAAAATATTAACACAAACATGGTTGGTCTTCTATAATTCAATGAACTTTGCTACTTTTTTCTATAATTGTTTTGCTTTGTCTATATATTTTTGTCCCTCATAGTTCCAGTTTTCTTTAATTCATTTTTCATTGAAGGGAGTCTAATGAATTTATTTATGTATAAGTGAGTATTATGCTATAACGAATTATGTATACAGGTTGGTGTATTAATAAAACAAGTTAAAAAAGGAATACAGCCCAATATTAATTTGTCTATATACTTTTGACAATTACTATATATACAGGGTGACTTTGAAGTTGAGTCATTAATTTTCAGATAATGATTGTAGAAGGAAGATAAACCAAAATATGTGTGTAAAAATAAAAAAAAATGTTACCTTGTTTTATAAAGTATCCTCCCGACAAGTATTTCAGTGCGGACCTGTATTTGATCGTGCGGTCTTGGAGCACCGGCATGCCCTCCCCTGTGAGGTCTTAAGTCACCTGATTCACGAGCCCTTTGTACTACATTCAGTATTTTCGTAAACATGTACCATTTTTTATTAACTATTCACTCACGCGTTACCTACTGACACATCGACTGAATAAGATCATTGTAGTAAAAACATCGTTTCAAATTCTTTCGCTTTTTTGTTTCCGATGCGATGAACGGATAAGGCGGATTATATCCGTTGTTGCCAAACACGAGCACATAATATTATTATTGAGACAGTGCGGTACTCAAACTTCTAAAGAGCTATAACTTTGTTACTTTAATTTTACCAGAAAAATGTTAAAGGAAAAAAACATTTCTTTTGATCAGATCTACTCACTGTTAAAATAAATGACTCAACTTGAAGTCACCCTGTATATGTGGTTTTAAAAGGTTGGTGTCGCGCTGTTTTACATAAGCGTATACAAGCGTACAACTGGCTACAGCTGTGAGACACTGACATGTTCAAAATATAGTAAATAGAAAAGCAGCTGTAACAACTTCTTATAGATGACGCCACGGTATCTCATTTTATTTAGGATATTTTTTTGGACGCGGAACATTAGGTTGGCTATCTTCTAGTAGAATAAGTTAATCAATGTTTTAACCAGTCAACTAACCGGTTATCTAAAAAGTTGTAGTTAAACCGCAACTCCTAACCTTTTTTGCTTGACAGTATCATGTCGCAGATGACACGAGACACAAACAGCGCCACAAAACGCTCGGAGCACGATAGTTCAGACGTAGCAGCGTTGTCAGATCCGCAGTTCTAAGTTAGTCAACTGGAACTAGAAATACGAATTTACCGACGAATAAAAGTTGACTTACAAGTTACAGTTACCAAACTTGGAAGTTGACCAGCGATTGAAAAACCGAGCCTAAGAGCCTTACAATGGTTTTGTTTTTTCTGCAAAATGACAATTCTGTCTGTTGTACTTGGACGGCTGGCTATATTTTGCTCATTATTCAACTCAAAGAATGTAATTTGATTAGAGTTTCTGAACAATACCTATCACAGCAACTGAATGGCACAAACTTCATAAGCTAACCCACATAAATTCTGCCCAACAGCAATCTTCAGATACCCATCCATACCAAATTCTTCACCCCAGCTATTTTTCACTATGTAGTAAGGCACTGCAGAGGTCAGGTCATAGCCCACTATTTGTACCGCGTGGTTTATACTGAGAGGGTCGTTATTACAATGGTATTGGATGGTACCGCCGACATAGTTCTGCCATGATTGTGCATTGATTGCTACAGCTACAGGTCCGTTCAGGCCAACAAGGGCAAGGATTAAGTCTTCAGAATCAATGTAGCTGAAAATTTCAAAAAGTCTATTATATGTATTGTCACTTTTTTCTATAGACTATAAACCAAAAATTACGCGCTTCCGTTTGGCGTTATAGTCGCGAACATATGTGTCAAAATTTGGTCAAAATATCTGCAGCACCGTTAAAGTTTCAAAGGGGCCAAGAATTACTGCTATCATTTAGCGCCAATGTTGGTCAAATATATGAATGCAACATAAGGTAAGCAAACTATATCACATTAGAATATATCACATTGTTTTTCTAATCATTGAGATTTTTTTTACCTGCCACAATCAAATGCTTTAATTCGAATTCCTTCAGAAAAATTGCCCTTGCAGGTGCCTTGACTCAATGACAGTGGGTAGACTTCATCCTTGACCACAGCTACATTGAATGTTTTCATCCACCTTAAAAGTGAGTATATGTCACCTCCATCACAGCCATCATCATATTTTGAACAGTCTATCATCTCTTGTGTACTGAAGTTTACCAACTCTCCTAAAAAAACATATACCAATTGGCACTATTACCATTGATTGACATATTCTACCTGAACATGGCAAACCTAATACTATATTCGCGCGTCCAAAGAATCCGAGATGAAATAAGATATCCCAGCTACCGCATCATCTATGAGATACTAATCTCTACAAAGTAGATTCCTAATTATTGTAGAGAGGAGAACAATAGCAGTGACAAATTCTCATAGATGACGCTATGGTATCTCATTTCGATAATTTTTTTAATGCGCGACTATAGTGTTAGATTGGATATTTTCAGGTAGAGTAAGTTAATCAATGCGATTATCTCAAAGTTAGACTGCTTATGGGATAATTTTATAGGGAATGGTTAAAAAATAAACATATTCTTAGTTTAAAGAGAAAAGTTTAGTTGTTCCTTGGAATATCCTCATTATACGTAAGTACATATGCCTCATTGGCATTGCCATTTGAACCTTGTAAGTGACAGAAAAAATTCTTAAAGAAGGCAGCCTTATTCAATAAGTTCTGGTCATTAATTTGTCATATCTTTGCTATGTAGTTACTAGTGAAGCCACTACACAAATCTGGAGAATAGACACAAATTTTTAATTATAGACCAATCTCACTACTAAGCATTTTCTCAAAGATTTTTGAAAATGTTTTAAAGTTCCTTTTTACTAATTTTATTAATAAATATAGACTTATATCTAAGCAATATGGTGTCCAAGCAGGAACATCCACGCAGGATGCAATTGCAGATTTGATAAAAAACGTGTATACCAGTGTAGACTTAGGAACCTCATCGGCCTGTGTCTTTATTGATTTAACACGTTCGCTGCCTACTCAGACTGGATTAACTGTTCCCAATAGGCAAAAACTTTTTTTCACCAATCAGACTAATATTGGTATATATGTAATCATTTTTAGTTATTTATATTGGTATCGAATTTAAAAAAGGTGTATATTCGTAGAGAAAAAAATTGTCTCAGCTCGGTGCAGCGGCATTGAAACCAGGATTATTCGTATCACTGCTACCGAAAGCGATGACTCGGATCGGAGCCGTCGGCACATTGCGAAGATCACCGATTGGCTCCGATTGGAGTCATCAGCAGCGAACGATACAGCTGAACACAAAGAATTACTAACTATTTTGGAGAATCTAGGGTTTCGTGGCAAAACACATACTTTACTCAAAAGCAACCTTACAGATCGGAATCGGAATCTGTGTGTGAAAGTTAATGATCCCATCAGCAACCTGCAAGTAACATACGGTATCCCACAAGGTACAGTTTTAGGACCTATCCTGTTCAACCTATATGTAAATGATATTTTTAACCTATACACACATGGTAAAATTATCGGGTTCGCAGATGATACGGCTGTTTTTTATAGCCAAAAATCTTGGAATACCTTAAAGCCTCTTATTGAAGAGGATTTCAGAGACATTATAAGCTTCTTCAATAATAAAATATTAACAATCAATCATGAAAAAACTTTATATCTGACTTTTTCATGTGTTGATAAGAACAGTCCCACATTCGCTAACATACATATCAAATTACTACCCATAGATGAAGTAATAGTCCTAAAGCCCGTAAATCATATAAAACACCTAGGAATCATCATAAACGGCCACCTAAAATGGGACAAGCAAATAGAAAGATTAACGAAGAGCTTAAGGTGTCTTATACCAACCACCACATACAAAATGTTAGTATAACTTGTGGAATTTTGGCATGGGGACCGGTGGTGAATAAATAGTACAGGAAACTAGAAATAACTCAGAAATGGATTCTTAAAATCATGTTCCACAAAACTATCACCTATCCAACTGATATGATATTATAAGGTATTCAAGATATGTGATTCTAGGCAACTCTATTTTGAGAGTGTGTTCACATATATTAAAAAACACAAGCATACATTAAATTTTGTCTCACATGACGATCACACCAGATCATTCAGTACACATACCGAAGCCTAACAAGATCATAGCTCAGAGGAGTTTCACTTTCCTAGGACCAATAATATATAACTTAATCCCCCCTCAGATAAAAGATATTAGAAGTACCAAAGCTATGAAAAAGCATCTAAGACTGTCGATTTTGCGAAGGCTCAAGATTCATCAAGAGATTGATAACAAAAATATCTAATACTACTGAAAGCAGAAATATCTCTCAAAATTATTGAAATTTCAAAATGATAAAAAAATTTATAAATCAATCTGACCTGAATTCACCAATTTTGTTCTTGTCTATTGGCCTGATATTGTCTTTTGTTTTAATATTGTCTCTATCCTGATTGCATCTACATCCCGATTTTGCGTCTCCAACCCTATTGTCTTTTAAAAATTTAACCATGCCTTTTCTAATAAATATTATATTTCTTTTTGAGTCTTAAGTTATTTATACATGAGCTCATGCCCAAACACAAGTTACTGCAAAACTTTTTTGGATCCATTCGTTTATTATATAATATTGTCTTTTATCTACAACTGCTATACTTTTTTTTCTTTTAGCAATAAACATTATTATTATTATAATGCAAAATGGAAAAAAATCATTCTTGAATCTAGGTATTGTTTCAGGACAGCGATATATTAGCAAATTTACCTGTTTTAATAGCATTCATTGATTCTATCACTCCAACTGCTGAAAAAGCCCAGCATGCTCCACAGCTTCCTTGGTTTTGTACTTTAGTTACAGCATTCTTCTCTCTCCAATCCATTTTCTGGGGAATCTTGACCCTTAGATTCAACGACCTCTTAAAACGAGATATATTTGTTTCTGGTCCTCTGAAATCTTTTTCTATGTAACTCGATAAATTTGGTAGTAATCTAAGCTTGACAAATTCTTCTGGAAGTAAGTCCGAGTACTTCGTTAGTCCATATTGAGCTGATATGTTTGTTTTGTTTTCATTCAGTTTTTCAATGTTTCTTAATGACAGCTAAAAGATTTGATCCAGTATGTTACTATTAATGTTACACAAGTATTTAAGGAAAATGCCAATGGCGAGACAGTTTAGGAGGTGTCTACCTAGTAGTTAGAATCAATACTTTAGTTGTATAGTAAGCTCAAATTGGCATTGTGACCGCTGATAATGAGAACATATACAAAAAACGACTTACACTGAAAGCCTGTAGCCTTTTGTTGTATGTTTTTTCATCAGAATATGTCTTGTTGAACTTCACAAGATAGTCTTGGAACAATTTTTCATCGCTGCTTGGCTTATGGATTTGGATTGGTACCACAACAAGCAGTAGTAAAATATAGCTTAAATATTCTAGACATTTCACTATTTTCGGTACATGGATAGTATTGATTCTTGAGTTATATGCTGATCCTGATCCAGAGTACATTATGGAAAATACAAATTTGAAGTTGCGTTTATTTTTCTACTTAAAGTGGTACAGCCTATATGGAAGAAATTATTAATAGAAGTCTAAACGTAAAATGCAGTATTACTCTTTAATAAATTAAAATGTAGCACTTATCTATCATTTGGTAAGATGAAGATGTTTACAAAATATGTGAGGTTATTCATAATTGTGACTTTTTAACAGGGTTGCCAACAGCAAAATTTGAAAGATCAGTGTACCAAGTGGTACCAGCTATGAGCCACAATCTGTCCCCAGTTATTGGTAAAACTATTCAAATGAAAAGGTCACATGAGTTATGTTTACTTCCCAAAAAAAACTTGGTAAAAAATATAAAGATTATAGTTTATTCGAGAACATTATAAAAAGTACAAAAAATGAGTTATACAGTTAATAAATCAACATATGCTCCTGTAATCAAGTCATCTTTATAAATTTGTAACTTTTCCATCAAATCTTCTGCAATTTTTTCACCATCAGTTACACTCTGACCATCTTTTAGACAGACCTGAAAAAAGAGTATCTAATACCACAATGCCAGAAGAAAGCAACACAGCATCCAACGGGAGCATTCAGACAACATAAAATGATGAAGCACTTTCATGCCAAATAATGGTAGCTATGGAACAGCTTTGACATTTCACAAAATGTAAAGTGATCCAGCGATGCAGCATTATTAAGCTAAGTAGCAGTAGCCAAGGGATAGAATTGTATTAAATCTAACAGTAACATGAAAATTACTGACAAACTGTCAAAGTTATCCCATGGCTACCGATATTCAACATTAGATAGCTTTACATTGACTGAAAGCTCCGATTTCTTATCAGTAATTATTGGAAACATGAAATGCTTCTATGCTCATACCTCTAATTCCACAAAGTCCCCCAACCCTTCAACGGTATCTATGTGTATTCTTGTTTGACCAACCAGATACAATCTACGAACTTTACATATAACTTTTTTGGATCCTAAAGCTGCTTCTAAAACATTATGTAGCCCAACAACATTATCTTTTGGTATCTCCGTTTTCTCAAACTGGCTCAATTTTGGCCCTTCCACATTGGGTCTTTCATAATAGATAAGTTCAGCATCCCCTGACTGAAAAGGAATAATATGTTGTAGGTACAATGGGGAAATTGTGACAATATCACTGGTTAAATATTTACCTCAAACACTCTCAGCTTCAATCTTCCCTGAACTACATTAAAAAATGTGTCTTTTTGTTTTATAACTTCACCGTCACTTGCACTAAGCTTTTTTGCAATATCAATAATACTGTTAATGTCTTTTATTGCTGCTTTTATTTCAACGTTCTTCATGTTTATCATCAGAATCTTATACGAGTCATTACTTCTGGAACCCTTTTTCTGTTATCCTAGCAGTATCTATTTGAATTATTGTTTACATTTTTTCGTTTTAACCTTTAAGCACTAGAACAGCTCTCCTGTCACTGTCAAAAAACGGCCGCAATTTCGGCGGAGAAAGTCGAATGTAAATTCCCCCGGTACAACGATGAAGGAGGTTTTACGGTGGTTTGCACCGCTTTCAGTTATAGGTGAGGGTTGCTTAACTCGGAGTTAGCGGTAACCCCAGATTAAATTCGAGTACCTTTCCAGCGTCAAGGTTTAACTCTGGGTTTATAAGCCCCGACTTTTGGTCATGTTGGCAAGCTTGGAATATAGGGATAATTTCTTAGAATTAATACATTTACTGGCAATATTGCCATACAATTTGTGCTGACATTTGAAAGATTGACGTACATTTTGACATTTGTTTGTGTTTGATTTGGCTGGATAAAATATTTTCAAATTCACAACTTCCAAAAGATTCACAAATATAAATTCTGTTTGGAAGTTGGGAATTTGAAAATATGTTTCGCTGTGGATCGACAAGTCGCATCATACAGCCGACAGAATGGTCCACAAAGCACCCTGGTAATTATGGACGTAACCATAAATAATGAAGAATTCGACGAGGATGACCTTATTCCTCTGGAATGAAATCTAAACAGCCCAACAAACAGTTACAAGAACCAATATTAGAAAGTTTTAGCAGTCACAATTTTGGTTTCGTAAGCGTTAAAAGAACGTCATTTGACATTTAAGTCTTAACCTCTTTTTTATTGTCAGTAGGCATTGCGATGCGGAGGTATTACTCTACATTTTCATGGTGCTATCCGCCTTAACACCTAGTTCAAGTGAGAGGCCTTAACTCCGAGATAACTATGACGGTGCAAATACTAACTCGAAGTTAGCGCTAAGCCTCACTTTAACCCGAACCGGTGCAAACCACCGTTAGTGCTCAGCAGCAGCCGGTGTTGCCACGTATCCTGCCAACCGTCGCAGGAATTATTTTCACTCCTACCTAAAAATTATACCATTCCGATATGATTGGGTGTAGTTTGTGTGAACCAATTATAAAAAGAAGTATGCTTTTCCAAAAAGCAGTGACTAAGGATTGAAGACTTTATATATGAAAAAATTTTAAAATAAATTTGTATTGGTGGAAGTATGGACAATAAACAGAAAAACATTTACTTTTATCATGCATTCTTTTTTGCTGCGACATTCTCAATCTATTCCATTTTCAATGTAAACACTGTTAAAACACCATAATTAAACCTGACACTTTGATGACTCCTCAGCTAGGACGCTTCTACATACATAGCGAGTTTTTAATTTGTAAGCTGTCGGTAGTTCCGATATTTTAAATACCTGGAAAAGTTAAAATTAAAAATTGTTAGCAACCATACGCTGCTTACTTGTAAAATATGGCGCTCTCCACAAGGTTATTCATAATTACGTGACAACACATACATTTTTTTAAATCAATATGTTTAGAACGAGCGAAAGATAACAAAATATTCGTTGCAAAATTGTTTAGTTTTATTGATGAACAATATTTCTTAAATCTCTCATTTAAATCTTTTTGTGCTCTATTTTTTTTCGTGACAAAGACACGAAATTCTTGTGATTGAGTGAAGGTTGTATTTGTTGGTGTTTTTAGCACTGCTTACATGGAAAATACAATGGATTGTTTATATCGCAGCAGCATAAAATACATAGCAAAGTATATATTTTTCGTTTATCGTAAATACTTCCACCAATACAAATTTGTTCTTTTTATTATTGATTCACACAAACAGCCTAAATCATATCGAAATATTATCATTTTAGGATTGCAAAGGCCGTTGGCGTGATATGTGGCAACACCGGCTGCTGCTAAACACTAAAACCTCTTTCATGGTTGTTCTAGAGGGTAGGGGGTAGGGGGATTCATCATATGCGATTTTCTCCGCCAAAATGGCGGTTGTTTGTGACACTAAGGCCGGTTGCACACATGGCGGATTTTGCTGCGGCGGACAATTGACCGTCGCCGCCCACAGAGTTAGCCACATATACATACACGGCGGTTGTCACCGCCGCACACTCTGTTTTTGCTGGATTCGCGACTTGACCGCGGGTGGAGTTGTTTACATGGAAATAGATGCGTTTTTATCGAAATATATAATATTTTGCAAATGAACAGAAAACAACTCATAGCTTAATTGTTATTCCGTCGTCGAATGAAAAGAAGAGGAAACAATCGGCTCATATGGGTTCATCCAATTAATAAAATGAGGCAGAAAGTTGGGACCTTCTACACATTGTTTGAACAGTTAAAGAACGATGACACAAAATTCTTCAATTACTGCAGAATGTCGATTACATCCTTTGACGAACTGCATGAGCGATTAAAAGATAGCATTCAGCGCAAAAATACGAAAATGAGGAATTGCATTCAGCCCATAGAAATGCTGGCAATAACACTGAGGTACGTAAAAATTTAAATTTACTGTTTTTTCCTTAATTTTTATTTGAAATAATTATGAATGGAATAATATAATAATACAATTGGTAATTCAGTACCGTTAAAAATTAACATTTTAGATTCATTGATACTTCTTTAAGGTGTGTATCCACCGAAAAAGCGAGCATAAGCGAGCAAGCATGCTGCATCAATAATCGACTAGTGAACGCGAACAAAGAAATGTTTGTTCCCACTAGTCGATTGTTGATGTATAATGCTTGCTCGCTCATGCTCGCTTTTTAGGTGAATATGCACCTGAATATTCGTTTATAAAAAATGGCAAGAAAATGCTGAGAATAATAATATTGATGCCTAATGATAGTAATAGTTAAAATAGAAACTTGTGTTTTACATTTGCTGCGGTATATGGCACGTGGCAATAGGAAAATGTTGGGTTATTAAATATCGCCGTTGATCGGGCTAAGTAGTGTGAGCGTCAAAAAAAAATCAAATTGATTTTGAGCACACCAGAAGCTTCCTAGTTTGTTAATATACGATCTGGCATACATATAAGACAGATTTGAAATTTTGACGCTTCGCCACTTTGCCAGATCAGCGACGATATACGTATACAACATCTAATATAATGTAGAATACAATGTAGAATTAGAAGTTGGAGTCCATTATGCTAGAATTTTGGGAAACCACTGATGAACTTCTTGCACAGTCGTCTTCCTCAAGGAAGTCAGAAAAGTTTTCGTAGTGGTCAGCTGCTGTAACTCCTTTGTCGTACATTGATGGGGCTGGTGATGTGGGCAGGTCATTTTGAGGAGAAGGTGAGGGTGTCGGTGTTGGTGAAGCTGGAGGTTGTGGGCGAGACGGAATCAGAGTTATGAAAGTTTTGTGATTTTTTTCCCTTGGTTGGTATCGAGGAGTAGACAGGTCATTTTGAGAAAGTGAGGAAGTCGATTTTGGGTCAAAAGGTGGAGGTTGTTGGGGATACGAATATGAAGTTGTTAAAGGTGGGTGATTTTGCCTTGGTTGGAGTGGTTGAGTAGGTAGTGCATGTTGAGAAGAAACTGACGGAAGCGATGGTGGGTCGTTAAGTTGGAAATGTGGCTGGCGTGAGTTGGACGAATTATTCTTAGGAGTTGTGAAACATTGTTGAGGTGACTGTGGAAAGGTTTGTGGTTGGTAATGGTATAGCATTGATTGACTCTGCTGCTGAAACTGGGGAGCGCGTTGTGTAGTGTAGTATTTGGTGTAATATACTTAGGCATAAATAATAGGACTAGGATACCTTGTTTTCTACTGTTTATTGTTGAAATGTATCTATTAAGCGTTAAAAAATAAGAAAACATAAAAGTCCTGCATTAGATTTTCAACGATATTTTCACCTTTATACTCCAATATTATATGTATTTAATAATTTTTTTATTGTTTAATAATTTTCGGCTCTAGATAATAATATTCGCATATAAATTCACGCCTTTGGGTATACCTTTTGCATATTTTTAATGTTAATTTTCAACGAGTTTTGAGCAAAAATGGGCGTAGCAACCAATTTTTTTTTGATTTAATATCTTGCATGATAATAAATAAGTAGATACTTACCAAAAACAGATCTATCTTTTTCAGTCAATTGATCAAAGTCGCTATGCAATCCCAGGCAAACTTCACGCCAAGCGTTTCTCGTGGCATCTCTGTCCTTAAATATGTCGAGGGTTTTATCCCACAAGACAGATCTTCCTTCGATTAATGAAATTAAAATATCATTATCTATAACCAGATCTGCAACCACGTCACTCATGTTGCTATTTATTATACCTAAAATCGGAACTGTTCCTTTTTCAAAATTTGCAAATCTTTTTAAAAATCAAAACACCCTGGAATAAACTAATCCAACGGTAGAATAACCGACGTGTGTGCAATCGTGCATTTGGTCACGTAGGCCACTACTGGGCGTCGACGGTAAAAAAAACGTCGGCTCCAGTGGCAGTTGGCGTTTGCACCGCTACCGCTAACGGCAAATTGACCGATCGTTTATTTGTCCGCCTAATGTGTAATCTCTAATCTACTCCAGAGCGCCACTGCTGAATCGGCGGCGACGGTCAAATGTCCGCCGCGGCAAAATCCGTCGTGTGTGCAACCGGCCTAACAGAGGAGTTTCATAGCTGATTTTTATCTAAGCTGTACTTTAAGCATCCAGAATCACGCCAGAATACGATTAATATCAAAATAAACAAAAACGAACTAGTCAGGTCTCGGGAACAAAATGATGTGGCAACCTTAAGAAGTATGGATTTACTGATTAGACGGAACAAGTGTTAGTACGTTGTCATCAGAATCACAATCACAACCATTTCTAATAGTACAAAATGGTTACGTTGCAAAACACAATCCAGTATCGCCATCTGTAAGAAACTTTCGTGTGGCTCTACAGTGATGCCAGACCTCATTATTAAACATTCCCTAGATTACTCTTCAGAGGTCAACTAATGTATTGGTTGTTTATATGCAAGTTGTAAAATGGAATGTCAAAAACATCTCATGATTTATTATGAGTGAAGAAGCAAAGCAATGCCCTGCTTATATAATTTGTTCATGGTTCTTCCCGTAGCAGCAAGGATCTAGAGAAAACTTTTGTAGAATGGCATGCCTAAGTTTCTTTTTCTTTCGACTGGCAACTTTTGTAGGCTGGCGTGTCTAAGTTTATTTTTCTTTGGACTGGCAAATTTTGTAGGCTGGCGTGTCTAAGTTATTTTTTTTACTGGCAACACTGAATGGAGAAGATATTCTTTAAAGAAACTAATAGTTGAAACTAATTCTTAGCACTGAATCAAACAAGTGTTTGTTCAGCCATATTTATACCTGATAGATGAATTTCCCGAGATGATTATGAAATCTTCCATTCTTTCTTTTGTCTTGAGCTTTGTGCCTGGTTTTGCTGTCACTTTTGATGTCATTTGCGGCCGTGGTGGTCTAACCTCGATTCGTAATGTAAACAAAGTAGATACTAGACATGAGATTATCACAACTTTTCAGGATCATTAACAAAAAATACATTGTTCGACACTTTTCTTTATGGAATAACATGCCTAGTTCAAATTGTTCTTACTTGAAGAATTTTGCAAACATTGACCATTTAACTGGATATAAAATCATTAAAAAATTACATATAGAAGCTGATGATGATGCTGAAATTTCTGAAATGCTGGTTGATACGGATCATACTGATGTTGAACTGGTGAAAGATGCTCTGTTCAAGCATTCAAAAGACGATGTAATCCAAAAGTTGAATAATTGTGCCTCAATAGAAGAAGCTCTAACAGTTTTTCACATGCAGACTGTTCCTTATAGTATAGAGCATATAGCGCAAACCATTTTAGTTCTAGTGGATATACAAACTATGTTTTTCCACTATAGTAGACCTAGTCAACAAGCTCGAGACAAATTTATCAATGATCTGTTAGCCAATAAGGAGTTTACAGTGTTTTTAAAACATGTTGAAGACAATGTACACACTTTTCCTACCAACATATTGAGTTATGTTTTATATTACTTGAATAAGCTAGGTTTGAAGACAGATAGTTCCTTAATACAATCACTAGCTGTAGAATTACGTGACCATTTGAAATTGAAACTTGATGTCAGTCACTGTGCAAAGTTATTCAAAGTGATATTTGCTGAAAATAGTATTCGACCATATTATATAAGTCTTCCCCTCATACCTTCAGTAATAAACCTCATAGGTAAGTTCATCTAAAATATTAAAAAAAAATTCTTTTTACTTTTTTAAACTAATTGCCTCTTGTTTTAGGTAGATGCCAGTCAGTTTCAGAGCTAGGACATTTAACCACATGTTTAAATAAATTACATAATATAGTAACAAGGGAAACTTTAAGTAGATATAAGGAAGAAGTTCATTTGTTTCTGAGAGAGAAGAGACTAAATACCAAAGATTCCACATTATTAAAAATTATAATGTTTTTGAACTATCCTCAATGGAGAAATCAAAATATTGTTCTTATATCTCAATGCATTCTGACCTTAAAAGAAGATATTAACTCATTCAGAGTTAATGAATTGCTGATGATATATGAAGTAAGTAGTCTGTGCAACCCACCAATAACTTATACGATCTTCCTAATTGCAATCTGACTTTTTGTCTAAAAGCTCAAAATGAATTGCGTAAATTAATTATTTGTGAATATTCGGGTATAGGGCATGCTATTTTTTACTTATTGGATAGCATAGTGTTACTGCTTCAGCTTTAAACATTTTTGCTATGCTTCTTATTCAATTTTTGATTATTAGGAGTTCAGAAAAAGTCAAAAACGTAAAGTGCTATCACCATACTCATGTATGTAGGATCCCAGTAATTTTCTCAGACATAACAAAAGACAATTACTTGTTCCTAAATATACCAAGAAAGAATACTCAACAACCTCCCTCATAATAAAAAAGCTGAAAATTTCATACTGTCATAATTTCTCAAGATGGAAAGGGAAATCTAATTACCTGCAGCAACAGTCCAAGAACTTTTGAGATAAATACTTTATGTTTTTATATGTGCTGTAGGTGTTTTTCAAAAATCAAGAGCCTGGAGAAGCTCTCAACCACCTACAACGTGGCGTTGCACAGTTTTTAAGGAAAATTGATGAAGGAAGAAACATAGGTATAGAGCAACACTTGATGCTGTTTTCTGCTTTTATATTTTTCTCATCACCAATCAACAAGATGCAATATAGAAAAGATATTGAACATATATTCAGTGATTGTAATGTAGAAAATGTTAACTGCCACACTTTAGTTACCCTTAGAAAAATCTTTTCTTATATAAAAATATCGGACAAAAATATCTGTGAAAAGTTCTGGGATTTGACTTTAGATATTATAAAAAGGGAGACCAATGTGAACAATATATGGAAGTTGTGCCAAAACTATCTACAATTTAATATAGATCTGGCAGCTTTTCGCCATTATGAGTTTGAGAAGTGGATGAACAATTTCATAAAAAACAAAATGTTCAATTGTCAATTTCTAACTCCATCAGAAATTGCCAGCTATTTGACTTTCATGCTGGTTTATGGCAATAATGAAAAGCTTATGCAGGCAGTTCTAGATCGATTCGAGGCAAATATTGGCCAATTTAAAGCAGCAGATTGCCTTAAAGTTTCATATAGTTTAGTGGCAGTGAAAGTCAATCAAAACAACATTTCTTTGCAAAAATATGGAAAAAGAATCATGAAAATGTTACATGACATTACAGAAAATGTACTACAGTACAATGAAAATGATTATGAACTGAATACTGCTTTATTGAAGGCAGCAATTTTGAGGAATGACTTAGATCATCAAATTATAGAAAATATGCTGGTAAAATTCAAGCAGATGGATTACATGTCTTCCAAGATTCTGGAGAATATTTGTTACATCTATTTGGCAACAGATAGTTTGGTACCAGAAGCTGTCAATAAATGTACTGAATATATTGTTAACAACCATCAGAATGTCATTGGCTTCAATGCAGAGAAGATATTGTATCTCTGTTATTACTTGGCTTACTACCCTATCAATGCTGATAAGTTTCTTGGAGTTGTGATTGACACAATTATTAGGTATGTAAAATTCATCTTGTCTCAACAGCTGTCTCAGAAAAAGTTTTCCTTACTGGAATGCAGATGAAAGAATGCAAAAAACATATAATAACGAACGACTAGCGTGAGAGACGGAGACAAATGTTTTCCAAACTGCCAGCCACACAACCACTCGAAATCGGACAGTACGTGGGACGTCCTCAAATTCTTACCTTAAGAAACAGTTTAATGTCTTCAAAGTTTTGTATGATCAGATTTGTTGCTACAGATTTGGTGATGATGTAGACCAAGATAAAACGGGAACATACCAAGTTTTACATTTTACATTTCACGCATCTCTATAAATTGTGTCCAGACCTAGACACCAATCAACATTTCCAGAAAATCGACCTAAATTTCCCTATAAAGTATTTTTTTCTAACCTATATTTCAATTTTTTTTTCAAAACAGACGTTAGTCATTTTTGATTTAACGCAAGGTAAATGAGGTTTAAATGTACTGTAGTATGTTCCTGTCATACTAAAGGAATTGTTTTGAGGACCTTCTCTGTGTCCATTAACCAGTGGTGTCTCCTGGTGGTCTGTATCTCGGTAGGGGAAACTTTTAGGACAAATATTTATAAGAACTTCTCATACTATTTTATTTTAAGATTCCATGTTCCTACATTGGCTGTGTATGTTTTTCCAGAGATCAAGAACGGTTGAGTGGCTTAGTATTTCTACAAAGCGCCCTCGCTTTATGCTTCTTCAACAAACTACCAAGCTCATTCATCAAACAAATATTTACCGTGGAGTTCATGGACAAACTAGATGCAGAGTTGGCCAGTTGTTACTCAAGGGTAAATATAAAGTTTAATCTCAATATGTACCGACTGAAAACAATGCGCCTTGTAAAGTTATACACAGGTGAATTTGAAATGCGTCTCTAGGTTTCGTGGGCAGGTTGGAACAAATGCGAAGTTTGTCGGATCTACGCTTATACATGCTGCATTAACAAGTGTTAATTCACTTTAAAATAACTCTATGAACGTCGTCAAGTAGTAATATCCGGTTGCGGCAATTTAAATCATGCTTTAAACCAATCGATTCTTCAATGTTAATCGTGATTTAAATCAATTTAAATTGCTGTAAGTAACTGAAATAACTCATCAAGATATTCAAAAGGGAAAATAGTTTATCTAAAACTAAGAGTTTACATACAATTTAAAAGCTAATCCTCATCAGTCCAACGTGAATATTCATAAACTAAACTTAAGCAAACATAGTTTACAACATACTGCTAAACTGTACTTACATTTACATATATCTAGTCCGGAAAAAGTACCAGCAGTACTGGTACTGACACTATCAATATTGTCAGTATACTGCGTACTGGTTCCGTTTTCTGACATACCTCCCGGTGTATTTTCATCTGTTTAACAATTCATTGTAATTCCAATTTGCATTTTTCACGGATCGCTTTGCTTCCCGTTTTTCTGTCTGATTTATTCGATTTTTCAATAAAATATTGCCAAATAGGGTTTTTTCAACCACCACTTCTTCGGGACATTTCAGCTATCTTTTGGAAACACACTACGATTGAATCAATAAAGATTATTAAATAATAAATAAAATAATTTTATTTTAACGTATGGGCCGACTATAAGTTAAAAAATGATCCGTCTCGCGTCAACAGCTCATTATAAAGAGGAATGAATTTTCTTGACAGGAAAGTCGCGGCACGCGTCTCACTGACGAGATTTTCTTACTGTAAATCTAGATCAAAAACATTTTCGGGCGAATAGAGAAAAATAATGTTTACAGGTTATTTCAAAGTTCATTATTGCCATATTTAAGGAAAAAATCAGTACTAATCGATAAAAAACAAAAAAATCACGAATTAATGGAAAAATCAGTTTTTTTCAATGAAATCGAGATTTTTTCCAGCACTGCTGCAATCCCACTTGGCACCTTAGATATGGCGATGGAAATTGTATGTGAGCGTTCAGATACAGCATGGGTTCTCGGAGAATACGTTAGTCAATGGTTATACGTAATTTGAGGATATCGGTGGATTGCGGCTGATTGTCATAGACTTGTCTTCACGAGACAATAAATCCACAAAAAGTTGTTTGGTGTGGTTTTTGGTCAGATAGTTTCATTGGTTCGTACTTTTTCGGATACAATGAAGCCATCACTATTGCGAGGGCAACATACTAATGACAATAAATCCCTTTTACTCTGACTTTAATAATATGGATGTGGGAGATAAATGTGGTTCCAGCAGAATGGAATTACGTGTTTTATATTTTATATTTATTATATTTGAGGAAGGAAATAACTTGGAGATAATTGAAACCTTATTTTGGCATATTCGTATTATCACTTGACGGCTACCACAGGAAGTGATGCTTCCAACTGTATGACAGGCATCACCTAACTTGACAGTATATAGCTTCTAATTATAAACATGCTGCTTTCGTCCATCCAACCATGGACATCAGTTTCGTGCTTTTTGGCAACTCATCAACATGGACTAAGGCACCTAAAGAGGCTATTCGTTTAGACCAGAGTTCCCCAAACTTTTTTGTGTCGTAGACCCCTTGCCATGTTTTTCCGTGTTGGGTAGACCCCCTACTTACCTGATATTGATTTCCTGTAAATTTCTAACTGTAGTGAAGTTTAGTGTTAAAAACTTAAAGTAAAAACACATGTTAATTTATACATTTATTAATTGAATTTAAATTAAAACTACTCAAAATAAAAGTTTGTATCTGTTATGTAAAATATACGTAACATTAAATAAACAGGTGTCTGACCAATAAGTGTCCGCATTGAAAAAAAAAATAAGAGGGATAAAATAAAAAAAGTGAAAAATAAAAAAAAAAGTTTTTACTTAAAATAGTACAATAAGCGAGTACGTTTATTAATTATAACATAAACGTATCTTCTACAATAATTTCACTGTTAGTTTGATTAAATTCCGCTTCTTATACGTTTAAGTTATCTAAAAATAGGCAAAAAATTAACGAATTTTAGTGTGTACCTATCCTTGAATTTTCAGAATAATTTTTAAAACAAAAATATTTTCTATAAAGGGGGGTTCTTTAAAAAATCAATGCGGGCACTTATTCCCAATGCGGGCATTTATTGGTCAGACACCAATAAAGATAAAATAAACTATAAATAAAATAACATAAGCAATAAGTCAATATGTTTAGTGAGAAGGATGAACCTGAAGCTTTAATAATAAATTATCAACATTTGGCGTCAATTTTGTAAGGGTTAATCTCAAATCTCCTCGGCTAATGCTGTCCAGTCTGTTTCTTTTTTTCGTTACGACGTTGGTAACAGCGCTGAACCTCATTTCCACTAGGTATGACGATGGAAAGGAAATTAAAAATTTCCTCGTTATATTCCATATTACGGGATAAGTAAAGGGGGTGTTGTTTTGCAGCCAGAATTGCTGATATCTGTTTTTAAACTGAACCTTAAGTTCTTCGTTTGTACTTAGTTCAGCCAGTTCCTCTTGTATTATGACATTCGTTTCTTCTATGTCACCATATGGATTAATTATCCACGGTGGTATTACCATAGTCAAAATATCCTCAAACCTAGATTCAAAATCTGAATAGAGGGCATTTAAATGTTGAACGTAAGTTGAAACGTCGTCTTCGGATTCGGTTTACTGCATCAATGACTAAATGAAGTGATTCATGCAATCTAACACTCAAATTTTTAGCAACTAAATGTTGTCGATGGATGACGCTATGTATTGCTAACACCCCTGACACATTTTGTTTTAAATAGCTTATAAATCCACGATCACGTCCAACCATGGCAGGTGCTCCATCTATACCTACTGATATTATATTTGATAAAGGAATTGCTTTTTCAATGAAGAAATCCTTCAAAACATGAAATATTGATTCACCTTTAGTGTTGGTTATCAAAGTTCTTGCGAAGAGCAGTTCTTCGTAGATTTCTTGATTCATAATAAAACGAACATATGCCAATAATAATGCTGCATTATCAGGTAAAGTTGACTCGTCCAGTTGTATAGAGAAATAGGTCGTTTGCAAATAATCACATAAGAAGCTTTCAATATCAGAACTCATTTCATCAATAAGTCTTTCAACAGTATTGTTGCTTAAGGAAATTCTTTTAATGATATCAGATGCAGGTTTGTGTAAAACAGTTTTTAAAACCTCTTGAACGGCTGGCAAAATTAACTTCTCTCCGATAGTATGCGGTTTTCCGGATTTTGCTATAAGTAACGAGATATTGTAAGACGCCCGCAAACCATCATCATTTCTTTGTGACGTCGAAGCGAACATTCTGTCCAGTGTAGGTCTCTTCTGAAATTTATCTTTGGATGTGTGGATGTGTGGATATGTGTATCTATATACTTTTGTACTTGCATATATACATTCATTTCGGGCCTGATGAAGCCATCCAGCAGAAATACGTATCGCTCGTGTTACCTATCCTATTTTCTGCTCGAATCCACTTTCGTCCTTTTTGCGGATTTTGACCATTATTTTCCTACTTTTTGTTATATACCTTTCTCCCTATGATCATTTTTTCTCTCTCTCTCTATATATATATCTATATAATCTCACAGTGGTCGATTCTGGTAATAGATGGCGCTCTGCGCTGTCTGATTTCGATAGACCTTATATTCTGGATAGATGATAGTTGTTAAGCTTTTGTTTGTTGTCCAAGAAACCAAACTTACACCATGATGATGAGTTGCCAAAAAGCACGAAACAGTTGTCCATGGTTGGCTGTCTTTGATCCGGTGGATGAAAGTAGTATGATAAGTTACGCCAGAATCGTGAGTGTGACGCAGTGGTGACCAAATGCGAGCCGGGATCTTTCCGGTTCCAAACCATATATGCTATATACTCTCGCAGTGGTCGATTCTGGTAATAGATGGCGCTATGCACTGTGCACAGTGAACCCAATACTGGACATTCTGCATCGGGAGTAGGATTATCTATAGCGAAGGTGAAGTAAATTGACCGCAAGAATTGTGCGATTTGATCAAAAGTATTGTTCTTGTAGTTTTCTACAGTGATGCCCTCAAAGTTAACATAACTCGAGTCATCGCCGAAATTCAGTCAGATGATGAGTCATCGAAAAATTGACCTCTAGTTTGTTTTGTTCAACTTTAACTTGACCTGTCGTTAGTGAAAAAGTCTACCTACGTTTATACTTTCAGGAAACTTATCCTCAACGTGTTCGGAACTGTCTCATGCAGTTGAATAGAGCAGTTTGTTTGGAATATCCAGAATATAATGTCCCTTGGTTTCATAAAAAATATGTAGATGAAATCGAAAGGAAATGTAAGTATTTTCGGTAGATGGAAGTGCTTGAAAATTGTTCAGATTAAAGTATATCTATTTTTTTAGATATGATACCTGAGTCGGAGATACAGTTCCCACTGAGGATAAAAGATTACTTGACGGAGGTAGCAGGAAATGCTGGAGGGGTAGAAGACAACGTCATCACACCCTATGGGTACCACATTGACTTTGTAGTTAGCCTAGATAGAAATGACCAGGTTGTGAATTCCCGGTCTGAAGATGTGAATAGGAGGTATACAAACATTTTTGAAAATTCCCAAAAATATTCTTTTAACAAAACATATAACTTAAAGCTCAAGTTTTGCGATTAAATTATTGACTATCCTTTTGTATAGCAGCGAAAACAACACCTGGTCGTTTAGGATAGTAGTACATGTATATTGCAACAAAGTCTATACAAATTCGTATTTGTTTCTGTTGAAAGCCATACGGCGCTACCTTTCAATGAGATAGTGGCCTTTCTAGGTGCATATTTAAAGCTTTGCCAGCAGTTTAATTGAGGTAGTATTGTAATCAAACTTTTTTATCAATAATCTAACTTTCCTTATATGTAATGACAATAATTCCGTTCCTCAACACGTATTACTTAGGATATTAATTCACTTACTTTTTTGAAGTTTTCAAAAAAATACAGGCTATTTGGATTTATACAAGCAAGTTCAACAAACTATTTCTATTACTTCTGGTAGGAGACTCAACTATATGGACCATTTTTTTTAGCATTTACAATATAGAACATAGAACAACTCTCTTTCGGGTCGTGCTCAAAAAATATTGCATCGTTATTTTTATGCAAGGCGACTCTGTTGGTAAAAGGCTTCAAAATGAATAATGGCACCTCTTCAGTGGATAACTGAATTCATTCATCAAATTTTGCAGCTTCTATTTCTTACTTAATAAGTAAATTTCATCTATCTTCAGCGGATTTTTCAGCAACGTGTCAACCTATTAGCAAGGTTGAAGGTTTTTCGAGATACTACAAGATCGCCTTAGTTTTCTATTTTGGACTGTGTTCTACTCTGTAAATGGTTATTGTTCTTGAGTAATGTATAAATAAATGAATAATAACAATATACAGGCCCGGACTGGGACCATTTGGGGCCCTCAGCTAAAACCTGTAAAGGGGCCCTTTTCCGAGGGGTCTTGGGGTGTGGAAATTTTTTTGAAAATTAGATGCTTAAAAACTCGTTCTCACGCTATTTTTGCACTTATAAAGAAGAAGAAATTCAGCTAGGTTTTTATACGCATATTATGATTTTTGACTTTTGTTGACTTTATTATTTATAAAATCAGAAATTCACAATATTTTTAGGATCCCACAACATATGCTGTGGAACTGCCAATATTTACAACGGAGTTCAAAATAAAGTGCAGCATTTTATTCACACCAAAGTATAATGAATTATGACAATAATATTTGTGTAATAAAAATAATGAGAAACGGATCTTAGAAATTAGAAAAATAATACTAACATTTTTGAAAAAATCATGTGTAACAGTTTACAGTGTTGTTATTCTAGAACAGTAGGGGCTTAACTGAGATGATTCGACATTTTACTCCGCTTGCCCTAAAGTAACAGCTTCTTTGGTAGCATCTCACTAACTTGTTAGAGCTACTTCATCTATTATTTTATTTTTGTCCAAATCATAAAATGAACCCCTCTCAACAGTAATAAAAAGCAGACTGCACATAAGGTCTTGGCCTAAAGATGGCCAAATTCGATTTTTGTTTATTTTAAGTTTAAAAAAAACTTTTTCATGTGACTTGGGTAGAAGATACGGTAAGAACAAATTTATATGCAATATACAGGTTGGTAAACAGTCCAGATTGAGTAAGTTCAAACAGAACAGAAAAAGCACATGTCAAACACTCCAAACATTTTCTATTTTCAGAGCAGTAAAGCAGATCGAAACATTTTGTCTTGAAACAAAATGTTTCGACCTGTCTGCGGCCGGCCAAGCTCGAAAGATTTTATCGAAAGACAGGTCGAAAAATTCTGTTTCGAGACAAAATCTTTCGATCTGGCTGCGGCCGGCTTTACACCACAACAACGTAACTCAAGTCACATCACAGTAGGTCGTATAAAGGCGCATACAGGCATCACGAGGCGTGCGACGCGAATGGTTCGTCTCGCATGCCTCGGGCTGTGTGGTCGTGTATGCTCACAGTGAGCATTCGCGTCATACGATCGTTGCGAACACGGCATCAGTACGAGCCTTGCACTCCGTGTGGACGGACGGGTGTTATTTGCGTTGCGCGCTCATGCGTCATGGAGACCAATACTGAATCACTGCGTGAACTTTATGAAAATAACAGAGTGTTATGGTAGTCTAAACATTCTGATTATTACAATAAATGTAAAAGGGAAGACGCGTGGCGTCCAATATCACAACAATCTGCATCTCTCGCCTTGCCGGATCCATTTTTCTTACTGACGAATACCGTGCGTGGTTATTTGCGTGCTCAGCTTGAGCATGTGTCGTTCGGGATGCATGCATAAATGTACCATCGTATGACTCAGGTTGAGGCATGCGAGTCGAAACATTCGGGACGCACGCCTCGGGATGTCTGTATGCGCCTTAAGGCTCTCGTATAAACGGCGAGATATAAACAGTTGTGGGACGTGTTCTACTTTTGGAAATGTGAACAAAACATTGCTGAGAACACAACATAACTTTTAACAAGACAAACACTTTTTTGTACGTTATGTGGGGCCCACTCGAGTCGGAGCCCTCCGCGATCGCAGACCTGCGGACCTAGCCAGTCCGGGCCTGAAAATATAGTATCTTCTACGTGTGAGCGACAATATGGAAAAAATGGAATCCCGGAACTTCAAAATCCCACTGGATTTTCTGTACATTTTGTATAGGTTTTGTTATATATATTATCTAGAACAACTTCTTCGCTATCTATGCACTGACTTGGAAAACGATACCGAATTTGTAATCTTTTCTATATTTTTAGGATTGCAATTTTACTACTAAGGCCTTATTGCTATACTCGTTTCTACAGCCATCCTAAAGGGAAGTATCAGCACAAAAAGAGGCATTTAGAAATGCTTGGTTATGAAGTTTCTATGGTGAAGTTTACTGAATGGATCAATCTTTTGTATGCAGAAGAGCGACTTGAGTTTCTATCTGACTTAATATGGCCAAAGAAGGTAGAAAATTGTACGGGTAATTCTAGGGCAACAAAAAGGTGACATTTTGTCCTGTTATTTATTTTCAGTGTGATGTTTTAGATTTATCTGCAATATCTGTTGTATACTTTGTTGATTTACTTGAAATTATAGATTTGATTTGAATATGATGTTTTGGTTGTGTGGATAATTGTTGTTACCATGATGAAAGAACGAGAATCATATTTAGTTTTGTCTCCAGAATGGTTTCCAGGTATCCAACGATAGTTTGTTTTTCGGAATGTATCAATGGATCGTTCCACGGGATGACAGTGCTCATTTTGAGTAAAACTTACATAAACAGTGCGTAACTCACTTTTGAGCACGATGATTCTACGATCTCTGATGATTATATAGGGCTCCCGAATAGTTGAAGAAAGGCATTGGTTAATGTATTCTACCTGAATATATCCAAAAAAATCCAAACATCTCTGACGAGGTAATGTGTACGAAAGGAAAGCGTGCAATACGTATGTTAGAAAGAATGTGTCGAAGGCAACGCGTCAAGCTGCTAGGCAAAGTGGTGCCTCTACAGGGTGTTCATTTGAAAACTTCCCACAACGGAGACACGTCAAGGAGTACAACTTTTTAACAAAAAACTACTTCACCCTCTGCACTACTGGGTCATCCCCTTAAACATTTTAAATGACAAGGGTATCGAGTAATAGCTCGTTTGAAAGGTCATTCGAAGTCCTTTATTTTGATGTTTGATTTTTAAAATCGATCGATTCGTTTACAAGACAATTAGCAAAATCTTTATTTATCTTAATTTGATGAGATAGAAAACAAAAACACACGAAAATATCACTTTGTATTACAATAAGCGTTCAAAATATTGCCCGTTATTGGGCAAACAATGATATAGGCAATGTTCAAATTCCTGATGGACATTTTTAAAAAATATTGTGGGATATCATGGCAGCTTTCGTTGATAGGTTGACGAAGTTCATCCAAACTTTCAGGTTGGGGAGTAAACACAATAGATTTTAAATGGCTCCATAGAAAAAAGTCTAATGACGTCAAACCAGGAGATCTAGCAGGCCATTCTATAGGCCCTCTTCGCCCTATCCATTTATCTGAAAACTCGCCTCTAGCGAACCGAACACAGTGAGGAGGGGCGCCGTCTAGCTGGAAATATATTTCAGCCTCATCAAGTATAGGGTTTCCATCCTCTTCGATTTGGTTTTCAATGATCTCAGTGATAATTGGATTGATCGTATTTTCCAACATATCCAAATAAATGTCTCCATTAAAATTTCCATTGATAAACAATGGCCCAATCACTTTGTTTCCTAAAATGCCGGCCCATATATTAATTTTTTGGGGGTACTGGGTATGCCCTTCTACAGATCCATTTAGATAAAATGTGCATTCATCACTGAAGCAGATACTCTTTACATAAATGGTATTATTATTAATCGCTCAGTCGTTTGTTCACAGAAGTCAACTCAACTCACCTATTGAAATCATCTTCGGTAAATATTTCCAGTTTGAATGGATGACATTATGGACTTTAGTAACTGTGTGTACAGAATCTAATGAAGTCGCAGCAACAATTTTATTTTAAAATGACCCAAAACTTCAACTTGAGCGGCTTCATCCAAAATTCACCGATGATCACGCTTTTTATTTGCAACAGATCCAGTTGAGTAAATTTAGTGACAAGGTTCAAAACATACGAAGTTATCTTCCCCGGATGTCTGGCGTTAAACGTGACGGCAGTTTGCCGAGGCCTTTGATTTTATTCACCATAAATTAGAATCATTCCCACTCTTTCGGATAGTGTGTAAACCATTTTGGAAGTAAAATCTGAATCAATAAATTAATTTTCACTATCCCAAGATTGTCACAAGGTAACTGACAGAAAATTAAATTCTTTCTTTCCCGTAGCAACAGATAACTAAACAGGCATAACAATAAATACAGTTCGCCCAGGATACTGGGGTCCATTACTTTGGACCCTCAGGACGTAAAGGAGCTTGGACTCAAGGCGATTCTCAGCTTCGCTAAAAGGGCGAGGCTTGTGATTTAAGTATTGTAGAGGTGCATAAGGGCCCGCTTAAGCGGCCTATGCACTGGCCGGGATGCCTCTAAAATTCAAGTTTCATTCATTCATTCATTCGCCCAGGATATCTTGCGAGGGTGGAAGGGGATAAAGTAGTTTTTGGTTTAAAAGTTATCCCCCATTACAAATCTTTTAAAGTGTCTCGGCGTTTTTTCTTTTAATTATGGTTTTCGATGAATCCTTGGTGGAAAGTTTTCAAATGAATACCCTGTATATTCCACTATCAGATAATGTTTCCCTTTTTGTCCACGAGTGTGCGACGAATAGTCTGTTGATGATAAAAATTGTACTTGTGGCAGTTTGACGAATTTAGCCACGGAAAAGAGTGATAAATTCTTCATAGATATTACTCATACTTATATACTCATGCAGCTCCAACGAACAGTTTCATAGATTGATATTGCGTTTTTAATACAGAATTGATCTTACGTTTGACAAGTTTAATGACGAACCTCGTATTTTTATTTGCAAACTCATTTAAACTGTAGGTATTCATAATGTGCATCATTGCAACAAACTTCCTTAAGTGTTGTGTCCTAAACACGTAATTCGTATTCTTTATGGAGGAAAATAGCGCTAAGAGTTTTTCCACCCCAAATAATCTCAGGTTCTTTGAGGACAAGGTATTGGAATATTGTGCCTTCAAAAAGTCCAGTTTTCAAGTTATAGAAACTGCCAACAAAAGTTTTATACTTACAAATAATTTGACTGAAGGGCTACGCAACTTTATAAATATTCAGAAATGTAAGGTATAACATCATACGACTTGAGTCACTAAGCGCTTTTTGACCATCCCAAGCTGTTTATTTACGTACGGATATCTAAGGTTTTGTGTAGTTTCGTAATGTTCTTGAAAACATCAATTACCAAATTTCATGTTTTTGCAATATTTCAAATTTTCGCAGTTGCCATATCATCCCAGTGAATCTTCAGAAAATTTACACGATACCGTGAAGCCGACTCGCTCTTAGCAAACTAAATACTGTTAAGGGAATACGACAAAAGGACATGAACATATGACTTTTTTACACCGAAGCAGCCGTGCAGGCAGAAGCCTAAATGCTAGGACACCGCGGGCGCTATGAGGATCCCAAAGAAATTTTGTTAATCTGATTTTTAAACTGTCTAAGGTTAGTAGTGATGGGAAAAGCCTCTTCTTGTCGACTGTTCCGCAATCTCGACACCCTTGGGGCAAAGGAGCGGTCGTATCGGTCATTTCTGGATGTACGAAGTTCGACATGGTCAAGATGGGAGGCGAAGTCAGGCGGCTCTGTCAGGGAGACACATCACGCGGCGACATCATGGAGGAGAGATCTGAGCAGCAAAGATCGTTGGTGTAGCAGTAGAAGAGAGCTAGATCGCCAACGGCCTGCCGGTACGAAAGGGTCCCGAGAGTGTCTGTTAGCGAAGAGTCATCGATCAGTCGTATAGCTCTCTTCTGGACAGTATCGATCATAAATAATGTAGTGGGGGTGGCAGCACCCCAAACGTGTGAGCAATACTCTAGGCCAAGCCTTATCTGGGTCTTGTAGGAGGTCATGCGGAGAAAAGTACTTATTAGCCCTAAACAAACAGCCTAGCTTTTTTCGAGCAGCTGCCGCCGCTGTTGCCGAAATGTCTTCATGCCAGATCAAATCCTCGGTGACCTGGACTCCGACCAGCCGAAATGAACGGCTCTTTGGCAGAACTCCATCTATCGAAATCGGATGAGTGCTATGACACTGTTTGTTCGTCAAGGTGCAGTACTGTGTTTTGGAAACATTAAACTGTACAAGATTACCCCTTATATATCAAAAAAATAGCAGAAGTGGAGGAAGTTTTTTCAATGATTTTAAACTACACTGTTTCCAACTTGTTTTGTTTTGTCCATTTGACAAGCCACGAAGCACTGGAAAATCTAAGCAACTTAATTTTTTATAACATGTACGCGATCTTTCGATAACTCGGAAACTATCTCTATAGGAAGACTATACGTTAAGATAGATGATAAAAATAAGAGAATAAAGAAGTCGCTCTTCCTTATTGAATAAGCGATGGTTTATCCCTTGAGTTTGCTTTTCTAGGATTGCACAAAATTGAGCGTAATTAAAAATCGGTTCGACTTCGTACTGAAATATGTGTTCCAAATGAGGTGTGTTATCACCCCTTAAAATGATGGTATCGACCCCCCGAACACCCTGTATGGTAAATAGAGGAACAGCTGTAACAAACAGATTATGCTACAGTATTTAATTTTTTCTCTGATATTTTTTGGAAGCGACAAAATAGCATTAGGTTGGCTATTTTCAGGTAGAACATGTTAATCAGAAATGGGAGGCGAGCTGCTGGAACATGATTAGAAGCACAAATTTCATCTTCTCTTTGGCCCCATAAACCGCTTTCGTGAGCGTCATTTTAGATCCGCCCCTGGTTGCATTTTTTTACGTGATAAGGGTCCTGTAAGTGAATCATAAATATTCAAGAACAAAAAGAAATTATTTACTATGGCATTTCGAATATCATTCATATTGATTTGAGTAATAAGGCGCTTTATGGAATTTTCCATAATACTCGCGCCTGAAGCACCTCTTGCGAAGAAGTGTAGAGATTACGTGCTGTACGCTTTTATGAAACACACACAACTGTTGAATACAAAGCACCTGTTTTAGGTGGGCGTATATAGTATACAGATGGATATTATTCGCGAAAGGTATTTCCTTCCTTGCTATAATCTACTCTGGAAATGGCATAGTCATAACGCGAATAAGGCCTTCTCTTTATCTTTACGATTGTTCTTTACGGGTGTAGATCGAAAAGTACGCCACAATGGTCCCATCGAAGTTCAAATGTTTTTCTAAAAGTGAAGCCGCAGCATGTTTGGCTTTTGTCATAACTTTTGACCGAAGTCGAATGCTTGGTCAAACTTGTGGGTAGTGTTCTAAGAATACTGAAATTGAGGTAATGTAATAACATATAAGATGTCGGCACTTAGGAAGTGCTGCGGCACATTTTTGGCAATGAAAAGAAAATTTGAACCACCGGATTTACATCTTATTTTTCCAAATAGTTGCTTCTGTACCTT